GCTGCCGCTGCCACCTCCTCCGCCGGTTCCCAGTCGTTTGCCCCTCTCCTCCTGTCAAAATGATAACATTACCCGTAACCGCTAATCATCCCGGATTCGCGCGCCCGGAATGGCTACAGCCAGGCCGGAAATGCACGTGGACTGGCTCGAACCAACGTGTCTTGGCCGGAAGGGTTCATTAGTTGGCGTGTCAATGTTGGTTCGTGCTGGAGCAAATAACGTCTCGCGTGTCTTGTTTTCGTGGCTGTAGACGAGTAGCAGACTACGCGAATCGAAACTGCTTAATTTCGAAAAGTAAAGGATAATCTACGCTCGCTGTACTTCTAACCTTGCAATTATGTTACACGTCGTATTTGGGAACGATAATTGTCGCGAATGCTTGTCGCGACTTCGGATGTTCAAAGTAATATAGTATAATAACTGGATTATAATATATATTATAATATATATATATATATATATATATATATATATATATATATATAAATGCGCGTGGCAGCCAACGCGTTAAGAATGCTGCCTCGTTACTTACACTTAATCAGCATTATTCGAAGAAGAATTTAATTTAAATTAGTCTTAGCTTCGCGATGGTGGAATCCAAGAAAAGGAAGGTACCCCAAAAGTGAATTTTACCGACTTTACTTTGCTTCCATTTCCAGCAAAGCCGATATACTCACCTGAGTTCGTTTGCAGTCGTCCTGTCTCTTGGCCACTTCCGAGTACTTGGGCGGAGGCTCCGACTTGGGTGGCGTTTCCTGGTACCTCGGCGGCCTGTCGAACGGCCTGTACTTGGGCGGATCGATGTAGGGGTTGTTCTGGTGTCTGTAATAATTGGGCAGCTGGCACTCGGTCAGGTCCGACTGCGACCTGTTCAGCTGATAGTTCGGCGGGTTCGTCTTTTGCTCCTGATGGCTCTGCTTGCCGACGTGCTTCGTCGGATTCGGTTTTTCTTGGCCGGCGTGACACTTGTCCCGCTTCTCGCCCCTCTCTTTGCACGCCTCGAACTTGGCGTCTTTCGTCTTTTCTTGCGTGACCGGCCCATCGATCTCGTAGAAGGTCAGCTCCTTTTTGCCCTGGCCCTTCTCCGTCGCGGAACGATGCGCCTTCGAGTGGACGTGCTGCACGTTCTCCGGCTTCACCGGCGGATCGATCTGATAGAAGGTTAATTCGCGGGAGTCCTGCGACTTTGAACGGGCCTCGTGAGACGAATGGTGCTGTCTCTCCGGCTGCGAGTGACTTCTCGCGTACTTGTGATCCAGCTTGCCGACACCGTCCTGGTGCCTCGACGACGCGAACCTGCCGAACCTATCGTTCGTGCCCAGCCTCACCGAATTCCGCCCGTACTCCAGATACTCGTCGCCGTATTTCAGTACCTGTCGGGGCTTGTACTTCTCCTCGAATTGCGAGTAGTTGTACGTGTTGAAGCCCACCTGGTTGAAGTTTCTGCTCAGGTTCGACGAGTCGTAGTCGGTCGACGTCACCGCCTCCATGTTAATCTGAAACGAACGCGGGGAATACTGCGTTTAAAAGAACGTCGATCGAGAGGAACGTCGAACGGTATCTACAACCTATACATCTACATACATACATACATACATACATATACAGGGTGTCCTAAAATTATTATATTTCCAGGAACCGAGGGGTTCGTGAGGTGATTTGAAGTAACTTTTTCCTTTACAAAAATTTTTTCCGACGCATCGTTTACGAGTTATCGACGAAAAACAATGGCCAATGAGAGGCGAGCTGGCCTGGGGCTAGGCGGTCGAGCCAATGAGCGGAATTGAGCTTCGTGCGCTCGTTAAGTGGGCCGCTTCGCGTCAGCCAAGCTCGCCTCTCGTTGGTCACTGTTTTTCGTCGATAATTCGTAAACGATGCCTCGGAGAAAATTTTTGTAAAGGAAAAAGTTGCTTCGAATGACCTCAGTAATCTCTAATTTCCCGGAAGTACCATAATTTTGGGACACTCTGCATATATTGTTCGCTTCTTTTTATATCAAAATACGATAGATTTTAGCATTCTGTTATGAATATTTAGCCACTTAAGTAAATGTGGGCATACGCCGAGCACGTATTTTCTTTGTCTTTTAGATTAGTCACATTCTGTTACAGACACCATAACTGTTGCGATCAAAGTGGCCAAAATCATAGGATAGCAATTATTTTCACCGTTCGAATCTATTCGATTGCAAATGAAAACATTTTTCATGGTCGCTGAAGAGGAAGAGATGATTGATGACGAGGCTCTCGCGATTTTCCACATCGTTTATACGTGGGAAAACAGATCTACACCAGAAAAAAAATCGATATTTCGTGATTCTTGTTAGACAGCTTTATTAGCTTGTTAAAGTTGCGAGAATGAATTGCTTTCTCGATACATATTGAGTTAAATTATTCCGTTGCTGCTTTCATTTTTCTTCCTAAACAACCCAATCAGGTTGACCACAAGTTACGTAACGATGAAAGCAGTTTGCCAGTCGATTCCTTCACGAAGGAATATAGAACAGGATGGCCACTCTTTCCGCTAATCTTTCAAGGTTGCCATGGTTCGGTTCATCCGCGAACTCGGCAAGTGTCCCCATGCTTCGGACAGGGGTGCGTATCGAGTGGATCGGCGTGTAACAGACCGAAACGACTCGACGAAAAGGCGAACTAGGCGAGCGAGGTTACGAGAGAGGGAAGATCCCTGGAGGGTTACCCGGAGCGTTGAAGAGACGATAAAGAGAGAGAGAGAGAGAGAGAAAGAGAGAGTCAAGGGTGCTCTCCGCGCTGAAAGGAACAAGAAGAACTGGAAGCAGGCGGCCGACCATAAATCGGGGAAACGTCTTACTCTTAAATGCTCGGGGTATTTACCGTGAAACAAAAAGCCACGCCGCGATAAATAAAATCTGACGCCGCGGGGGCGTGTCGGCCGTCTCCGTCTACCTCTGTTTCGCGGCTAGAGCGCGTCGCTTCTTCCTCGGGTCCCGTGGAAACCGGGCCGAGGGAACCCCGATTCGTGAACCTCTCCGTCCAGAGGGGTTGCGCGGAGAGTCGGGCCAGGCCGAGCACCGAATTCCACGACGAAAATCGAGCCGCTCTCGAAGAGGAACCGGTTCGCACCTCCGCCACAGGCCCGAAGGCCAATCGATTGGCCGTGTGTACGTGTACGCGTCACGAACTGCTTTCACGGTGCACCCGAGATCACGCGTGCTCCTCTTTCCTTTTCTACGGCTCGAGCCCCTATCCAGAACTGGCCGGGAGCCACGGCGGCCACCGAGAGATGCATGACTGCGATTAGACGACTCGCCGAACCCGGCGAAAAGAGTCCGATCCCGGCGAGATTGCGTACTCGCGCGCAACCCGCCCGTCTTCGAGTAAATTCCGCCACGACCTTAATAGCGTGCATATTAAAATAGCGAACCGTAAATCGGTCAAGAATCGATTGCTCCCTTAATCGGAGCACCGCGATCAGCCGATTCACCGTTCCTCAAACGTAATCCCGCTGACCGTGCTGCTCGAGGATGAGATCGCGGATTAAATCGAGAATCAAATCGAGGATACGATCGAGGATGCTCGCGGAAATGCAGCGTCGATGCGGTCACACCGGGTATATCGGACTTCATAACTTCTTCTAGAGCATCGAGAGAGAGAGAGAGAGAGAGAGAGAGAGAGAGAGAGAGGGAGAGAGAGAGAGAACCCTCGGGGCCCGCGGTTATATATTACCGGCTGTAATGAAGACTCCAACGGCAGCGAGCTACCGACGCTGCCTTGTTTATCACCTCGCCTCAAATATACAATTAACATGTTGAAAAAGCGCCCCGGGTCGAGGCCGGCAATCGCCGGCTTGCTCTAGCACCGACAAAGACAGGGGTTCACGGGGCCCCGTGTTCCGTCTTGTTACCGTAGGCCTCGTTAAACCGTGTCTGGGATCCTTAACCCAGAATCCCTCTGTTCTTATCCCCTAACTACGTGTCCGCCGAAATTATCGTTCAGCCGAGACGACCACGAGAAGACGACGACGACCAACGCGGAGGGACGCGGGGGACGAAAAACTGGACGCTCGCGGTCCGGCCGTGCTCTCGGAAATTGGACCGGCCAGGACTTATCGCGAAAAAAGATCGTGATATTTTTCGTCGCGGCGTCTCGAGCGCGACAGTACTTACCCGCCGCGCCGCTCGACTTTTCCCAGCGATACACGGCTCCGCCACTATTAAATATAATTAAAGAGAAAGGCTGTCGGAGACGCTGCCCCCGGGCGGAACTAGCGGCCCGGCTCGATTTTGTATCAATTACGTTTACACGGGGCTCGCATAATTCCTCCGCGCCGCGAGAATTAATCTCTGCCCGGGATCGAAGACCGCCAGCCCGGAATTTACAAGGTGAAAACTGGCGGCGACTCTCGCAGCTCGGCTATTTCGACCGAAAACGCGGATTAAAGTCGATTTCGGAATCGAAAATTTATTGTATTTCGTGTATTATATTTGTCTGCATTGTACGTATTCGGTTGTAGCATAAGTCCTATCCTCTTTGGAAACGCGAGATCGTCGGCAAACATTTGTAAATATATATTTAAATATATATTATATAATATTTGCAAATATTTGTTCGTCGCATCGATCAACGTTGCAAGAATCTTTGCAATAGAATCGTTGCTTTTCAAGATAAGCGAATATCCGAGGAGCGATGTATCAATATGTTGATTGTTTCGCGTTATTCTCCGCGAAATTCGAACAACTTTTGTAGCTCATCGGTTCACTCGTAAGTTTTGCGCGTTGCAAAAATTTTATACAACGTGTGCTTTTTAATTAGATTTTTTCGTCAATTTCCAATAATTATTACATTCAACGAGATATATTGCGGTTCGACAATTTCACGAACGATTTCGTTATACTTCCAAAGCAGTCCGTAGACTGGTTTTGATACCATTAAATTCAGCAAAGCTTTCTGTTTACGGCACAAATAGAATTGGCTGCCAGACGGTACCAAAACAATTTTCCGAACGTTCCTGCATTGTAATAACGCGTCGCGAAAACAAATGTTCGAATGAAAATATAAATCCATAAAAATAATATCACAAAATATAGATGTAACGATACAAGAAAGAAATGTAATAAATCCTTCGGCGTGCAGCTAATATAGTAAATTCGTTGTATATTTCATACTGAAATACATGATTTTTCCGAAATAATATATTTCTGTATTGATCCTGAAAAATTATGAGAGTTAGATCTATTTTGGAGTTATGAATATCCGATCTAAATTGCTCGCTGTTTGAGTGGGTTAGAATCGCAGTGGCGTAAGTCACATTTTCCTCATTGTGTAAGAAGAAATGTTATCGTTTACTAACACGTGCATTCTTTACCGAGCAAATTTACTGCTAAGATGACTTACAGTTAATTTAAGTTAACTCATAGTAACTTTGTAATTTATTTCACTTGTCTTTGTAACATTTTGGCATAGAAATTTTCGAAAATCTGACTTGGACCACTACGATTCTAACCCACTCATTTATATTAAGCCCAGATAAGAAAATCAACGTTGATCTTAAGAAAGCAGACTAACAAATATGCAAAAAATTGGCACATTTGAATGGATCTCTAGCCATGATCGACAAGAAACTCGCATATCCGTGACGCTATCGAAAAAATCCCGAGGAATCGGGACAATGAATTTTCTAGTCCTGCGACTATGTCGACAAGTTTCATCAATTCCAGGTAAAATCGAGATCTAGCCAAGATTCAAGCGGTCAGGATTTTCACGTCTGCCTACTTAGATCGAGCATCTTGATCCCGGTGCAGAGCACGCGGAAGTAGCTCGCGAATGAGAGCGACACGCTTCTGCCACGGAATTCGGGGCGCCGAGCCTTTGGGTGCACCGTGTTCCATATGATGCACAGAATATTGATAGTCCACCGCGTGTCAGGACTCTCATTTATCTTCATCCTTCAATTTCCCGTGTACACATGCTCGATAGACCACGTTCTCGCCCCCCCCCCCTCTCCCCCACCCCGACCGAATAAAACAACGCTGCCGCGTGTTTTCTAAAGTACACATCGGGGAGAGTAATAGTCCGATGTAAGACGGATATTATATTGACTCGGCGGAAAAGTTCCTTTTCTTTTTTTTCTTCGTTTTCGAGGAACGCGAAAGAATTTTCTTACAGGTTGTATACTTTCTCGGCATTATTTATGACTCGGGCCCCCGATGTATCTCGCGAAATTAATGGTTCCGCCGAGTTCCAGCGACTCGGTGTAATCTCTTTCCGGTGCAAATCAGGATCTCCATTGTTGACGGGATATCGCATTTGCGGAATAACCATCTCTCATCTGCGGCTGGCTCTTCGCAGCAAGAAATGTCTCCCGGAATCCCGTTCTGAAATTACGTATTTCTTCGCTCGCTAATTCTCCATATTGTTTTTCGTAATTGCGTACGGAATATCGCGAGATTCCGGAACAGTTTTAGTTTGACTTTTTCCCGCTTTGAACTTTCATGTGACACAGCTTTTACATTTATTTA